CAGGACTGGGGCAGGGGCAGGGGCAGGGGCTGGGAGGCTGTGGCTAGGGCAGGGCTGGGGGAGGGGTGGAGAAAGGGCTGGGGGCCTTGGAGGCAGGGCACCATAGAAAATTGAAATTGTGGGCATTAATACTCCAATATAGTGAGTTTGAATAGAGGAAACAAGTCCACAGCAATTCAGGTTTCTTGCCTGATACGAAAGTCATTAAGTCAATTAGTGCAGCATTAAGGATGGGAACAAAGCAAGGCCTGGACTAGAGTGGACCTTCAAATATTCCTATTTACATAGGGTCATAAAGTTGAATTTTCAATTAACTATTTCTGTGCTATAAGACTTCAAAAATCCAAAGAAAAGGAGTTTATTAAGTCAATTTCAAAGTGAACAAATTAGTAAAAATGTTTTAAATGCCAAATTATTTTACTTTGAATATCTAAAGCCAAAAAAATGTTGAAGCAATTTATAAAAAAGAAATTGAAAACTTTAAGGAATTTTAAGGAATCCCAAAATGAAAACTCACTAAATGTAATTGAAAAAAATTCTACAAATAAACAAAGCCTGTAAATATATTTCCATAATAGTCACTTAAGGCTTAAGTTGAACACTAGCAAACCACATAATCAAACTATATATGACTGACATCCAAGAAATAGAAATCAAAATCCGACCCCAGCATTAGCCACGGGGTAGGTGTTCCTCTTGAGGAAGTCAGGGATTCCTCTTCTGCCACCTGTTGGCCAACGATCATCTGCGATCCATTCTGGTCTTTGCCACGACTCACCGCCATATTCACACTTGGCAGGCATGGAGCATTGCCCCTGGCCACAGTGCAGAAGAGCAGAGGCCAGGGGGGAGTAGACTAGCCTCAGGCCAAGGCAGCAACGCGGAAGTATGGGGTGAGGTTCAGCCCACACAGCCAAATATCCAGCACTGCAAGAGTCAATGCTGGAGGGGAGGGAGCAAGTGAGAGGGGAGGGAGATGGAAAGGGTAAATGTCCTTGGAAAGACCTTGGGTACCACCCACTGGGAGCAGACTTAGAAACGTGGCTTCTCTACTTCCTGTTGGCTGGCTGAATAAAGACCACACTGAGGTGCTACACTAACTCACAGCCTAATTCCATCATCCACTAATTAGTTGTTCCCAATTCTACCACCCTTTCTGATTGGGTGGGTCATGCGGCAATCCAACACTGCCCTTGCCACCTTTCTGCCACTTTTTGCGGCAAACACTGCAAAACCCGCCATCTTTAACAATGCGGCAGGCCCACCTGGTGCAAAGCCCGCCAAGAATGTCCCGGGCAAAAACCCCCAGCCATGACGTCCACATGACAAACTGCCATGATATGCGCATGACAAGGTCTGCCATATTGTCCCTGCGGCAAAACCTGTCAGGAAATGCACACGGCAAAGACAAAAGCCCGCTATATGTTACACTGCGGCAAGTACTTCAGCCGCCATATTTTGCTATGTAACAGAATATTTCCACCACCATGCTGCGCACTAGAACAAACACCACCATGATGTGGCCTTCCCGCCACTTGAACACTGCGGCAAAATTGGATCCGCCATTTTGGACACGCTAACAAAGCCGACAGTCATGCTAAGCAATGCCACAAAGTCAAAACCGCCATTTTGAACCCTGTGCCTAAGTTTTCTCCCTCCCATTTTCGACTAGCCCCTTGTAATATGACACAGGACCATCCTGTTTTTCCACCTCACGATGCCATAATTCATGCGAAGCTCCTAACAAGCCCCAAATAAGCTCATTCAAAACATTTAGCTCATACAACGCATATAATTGCCTCTGCCTGTCCCGCTATCCATCTTGTCTCCCTAGTTTATTCTTAGAACAAACAACTAACAGTCAGCGGAGCTGGGCGGCAAATCTCAAGTGGCCGCCATCTTTCCTCCCCAGCCCAACGAACCTCCTAGCCTAACTGCCAAGTCATCTCCCAGCTAAAGCTGCAGGTTCACTCACACACCACCAAATGATTAGCAGCAAAAATTTGTAGACATTCCAGATAGTACAAGGAACCACAAAAACCAACACTTTTCCATCCATAAAAAGCCCCGATGGGCAATTAAAAACAAAAATCTAAGCAGGTATCCGTGGCCCCGATGGACAAGGGAAAAAAAATAAATAAAAGCAGGTATCCGAGGCCCCGATGGGCAAGGGAAAAAAAATAAATAAAAGCAGGTATCCGAGGCCCCGATGGGCCAAAAAATAAATTTAAGAAAAAAAGCAGGTATCCGAGGCCCCGATGGGCTAAGGGGAAAAAAAAAATTAAAAGCAGGTATCCGCAGCCCCGATGGGCAAAAAAAAGAAAAGAATTAAAAGACAGGTATCCACGGCCCCGTTGGGCAAAAAAATTAATAATAAAACCAGGTATCCACAGCCCCGATGGGCAAAATACAGAAAAAGGGAGAAAAAAGAACACTAAACCACAAAAAACAGAGGTGTCAACCAAAAATCATTCCAAAGAAAAATTCCTTTAAAATGGAAAATTGCCTAAAAATATCCCAAATACCTGAAAAACAGGGAGGAGGTGTCAAGAAAATACTAGGAGAAAGTTCAGAACTTTAAAAACGTGTTATGGAATTTTGGTGCATTTTTTTTTAAAGAAATATGCCATAAGGAGTGGTCGGGGGCTAGAAAATGTTCCAGAAAGAACCACACGGACAAAGAGATCAAGTGTTTGCAAGCTTCCGCCCCAGGAAAAGAAGAAATATGGCGGCAGCAGCAAATTGCAGCGCTTTAAGAAGTGAGGGGGAGGGGACTGGGGGCGGAGAAGTAGAAGAGGAGTGGCCTAGAAGATTGAAAGCCAGACATCTTTGTGGTTTACCCAGCTCAAAATTTACTCAGTAATAAGAAAAAGGGAGATTTCAAGAAAACAACATGTTAGAAAGAACACTAGACTGGAAATAGTCTTCATTTTTAGTCCAGGAGCTACAACTTCAATGAGTTTTCAATGGGTTCTCATCTATGGAATAGGGACGTTGAGTGAATCCAATTAGGTAACTAATACTAAAATCCTGCATAAACAGCATACCAAATAAAAAGGTTTTAGTTTAGTTTGGTTTTGAAATAGAAAGAATGGGATGGTACAGCTTTGATATGTTGATAAAGTATGCAAGTACCTCATTCTGCCAGAATGTATAACCCCCCTACCAAACTTTTGAACCAAAGAAGCTAGGAAGCAGCAATACATTAAGGTTAGAACCCTCTTCAAGGGACTTTCCCTTTCATTATCTAATGTGGTAGTTAAGATTTAGTCCTTTGTTTTGTAGATTGTGAAAGAGACGCCCATAAAGGTTACATGAAGGGCATGAGGTCACACACCATGATTCTGAGTCGGTATATTTTCTACTCCAGTATTCTGTCTTTGTATGGCCCCTGATCATAGGAGACTGGAAGTGCTTATGAGTCAATTGGTGAGCAAGAGAGGAAGGAAAGGAAGGCATTTCACAGAATGCTGACTTGGGCCCTAAGTAATCAAGAAGGAGTACTGTTTGTGACCCGTTTGTAATTTTTAAACTGTGAATCCTTAATCTTTAGTATTTTCTTACTTTCTCCATGAATCTGATGACCCCAACATTGAACCAATCATAAGAGCACAGTAGTGAAGTTCACCCACTGGCAGTAACTGGTAGGAAAAAGCTCATATAAAAGCCATAGCTGCCCCCAGAAACCTGGCTATTTCAATGAGAAGCAATTAAACTCGTAAACTGTCCTATATTGTTTATCAGAATGACAATAGACAACCCCTCCCGGGGAGACAATAGAAACTTACGTATCACACAATGACTACTAGAAAGTCAAAGGACACATTGCCCTCCCACTGACTGAACTGGAAGGTATAACTATTAACCCAAATACTATCAGGTAAGCATGCCCTCCAGTCTCTAGATAAATAATAAAGTATGCAAAATTTTCTTCCTTAAAGGACATACTCCATCTTCTAAGTGCTCTTGGTTCCCACAAAAAAGTAATCTGCCTTGTCATTCCAAATGAGAGACATTGTGTTGTAAAAGTGGTACCCTTGAGAAGACGGTGCTTAATGCAAAAAGAATCTAATAATAGAACTTCAGTCTGGAAGATAATTTGCCACAGGAGCCTTCCTGAACACCCAAAAATTAAACTATGGAGCAAAAGCCTATAAACAAGACCTGCTATGCTCTCCAGTTTTGGGGCAGGAAATGGGATTGATTTTATATATGTATATATGTATATGTAATTCTGAATGTCTTTAAGTTTTTACGCTAATTTAAGCTTTCACAAGTTTCTAGTGAAACAAATAGGGGAAAAGGAGTCTTTCATTGTATAGATTGGTAAATTGAGATTGAGGGATGTTGATTCCTTTGCTTTTGGTTTAAAAGCTAGTGACAGCATGAGGATCCCAGAGTAGAGGTCCTTGGACTCAGATAACTTTGGTTGCACTTTAGTGAAATAACTCTGTTAACAAGACTGCCTTGCATGTCAGATCTCTCTAGTGAGAATTGTGGAATTTGTGTGGAGTTTAAAATCACTGTAATGATCATGGTATATTTGAAAAATAACAACCATTCCTGTAAAAGGCAGTAGCTACAACCACTTTGATATCACACAGTCATCAGAAAAAAAATGATTATAAGTAGTATTCTGTTAACCCTGGAATCAGCCTGGACTAGCCAGCAGGACCTAAAAAGCAAGCCAACTATCACCAACAGCAACGCTGTCAGGCTACCTGGACCAGTCTTAAACTCCTTCCCTATAGGCCATGAACTAATAGGAATCTGATTCCACTATAGAATTTAACCTATTATTGTGTCTTTAGCACAGGCTACCAATTATTAGGGTACCTAGGCCTGTCCAATGCAGCTCTGTCCAATAGAATTTTCTACAATTGTAGAGATGTTCTATACTTTTTAAACTTTGAGTTAGGGAAAATTTTCTTAAACAAAACTCAAAGATCATTGACTACAAAAGATCGATAAATTTGGGGCCGGCCCCGTGGCTTAGCGGTTAAGTGTGTGCTCTCCGCTGCCGGCGGCCCGGGTTCGGATCCCGGGTGCGCACCGAGGCACCACTCCTCCAGCCATGCTGAGGCCGCATCCCACATACAGCAACTAGAAGGATGTGCAGCTATGACAGACAACTATGTACTGGGGGTTTGGGGGAAAAAAAAAAAAAAAAAATCTTTAAAAAAAAAAAAAAAAAGATCGATAAATTTAACTTTTTGAAATTAAAAACTTTTGTTTCACAAAAACACCTTAAAAGGTAAAAAGATAAGTTATAAACTGATTGTGCCGGGGATCTGCAGTCAGGCCATGGTTCCAAGAGGGTGGCCAGGCTAGCAAATCACTCCCATTGGCTGTCATAGTAATTTCTTTCATGGGATCGGGTGAGATTAGGCCACCAAAATGGTGATAACATGCTGATTTTGGGTGACTCTCACTCACGTCAGACGCAAGACATTTTCAGGCTCTAGATTACCAAGGCCCACTGCTGACACTTTGGCTAAAAGAACTGCAAAGGCAAGAAATCTATATTATTTCAATGTAAACAGGTTCCAGAGAGCCATCGCATTGGAAGTAGTGTGAGTGCTGCTACCTTTCTCTCGTAATGAGAGATATGAAATCAGCCAGGTATGGTGCATTTGACAACAAAGATCATGAAGATCTGGTTTCTGGACCTGAAAAGGAAGAGATGGTACATGGACATTATGAAGAATTTTCACATGAACTGTTCAATAAACAAATATATGTGTGTTCAATAAACAAATATATATTCTCTACTCATTATTCTAAATCTTCATTGCTAAATTACTACTCCTCACATGAGCCCATGAACTTTATAATGTATTTTACTCAGATCACTTATATAGAAATGGACTCCCCAAAAATATTTGCCTAGGGCCCTGCATGCCCTGGAGCATTCCTGCTCTCTTCTGCCATTTATCATCTTCAGGCTTGACTTATCCCTACCCTACCACCCTCCCCCCCACCCCCAGCAACCCTCAGTCCTCCACTTCACTTTCTTCCCCTCACAGCCTGGCTTTGCCTTCACTACTGCTTGGCTTCATTTTATAAACCTGTTGGGGTTACAGGTGTGGAAACTGAGACACTAGAAGGAAAAATGACTTGCTCAAAGTCAATTAGCTAGTCAGAGTTGGACCAAAATGGGGATGTTTCAGGCATATTGCCTGTGGCTATACCCTCGTTGTGTCCACATCTTCTACTTTGGGCTCCCAAATGCATGGCATACAACAGGAATTATATGGAGGGAAGGAATCAAGTCCTCTTTTTAAGATTCCCGTTATTCTGCTTCTAGGCTAATCACTCTGTTGACCTACATACTTCCTCTCCCCTACTTGACTAGCTCAGAAAAAGGTAGGAATTACCTGATTTAGCCACCAGATGGCAGCATGAAATTATCAAAGAAACACTGAGCCAGACTGCTGGAAAGAAGCCAAGGTCTTATACCAAGCCCAACTAAGGTCTGAGTTGAAGGGGAAAATGTCTTATTCATACAGGCTCAGTATCAGAAGAAAGAGTGCAAGAAAAGTACTTAACTTCTTCTAATTTGAAAAGTCCTCCTTAGTGGGAGTTTGTCCTTGGCTTCGATGCAGTGCCATCGAAGCCAAGGACAAACTGCCACTTTGATGAAGCAGTCAGAATGGAATTAGGCTGGTGAGGGCCCTCAACTCCATCATCACTGCAAAGCAGCTAAAGGAACTAGGACATATTATGGGACGAGAATACTTGGGGAAGGGCTGTTTACAACTCATAAGGACTGTCTGCAGTGCGAGAAAGAAAAGATTGGCCTTGTTGTCTGTAGCTCTATATAAATAAGGATGTCTGAATAATCTGAGCTCCAAAGATGGAACAGAATACCTCCAGAACTAGTGAAACGTCAATCCCTGAAGGTATGCAAGCCAATGCTGGATTTCGTGGGGATGCTATGGAGAGAATCATCAGAAAGAAAAGTTGGGCCACATGCCTTGTAAGGATCTTCTAACTAACTCAAAATCCTGTGAACTTCATCAGACTATTTGGGGCATTTCTCTCATCCTGCCCCACCGCACACACACACCATTTATGGTGTCTTTCAAGGGTATATCAGGATGTTGGGATAGGTTTTTATGTTTATCAAAAAAGAATATGGAGTTACACATGTCAAAGCTCAGTCAGTGTATACTTAATAATTGTGTATTTCGTTGTATATATTCTTTATATCAGAATTTACAATACTATAAAGGAATATTGAATTCTGTTAGTGATATACATGTGGAAGTGACAGAGGGTATATGGAAGTCTGCAATTTATTTTGAAATGTATCAAAGCATAAGATGAGTTAATGGATTGATAAAGGGATTGGTAGACAAATAGTTATATGATTGAAAACAAGTATAACAGCATTTTAATGGTAGAACCTATGTGGTGAGGCTTCACTGTACTATTCTTTCATCTTTGCTGCGTGATTGAAAATTTTCACATTCAAAATGAAATATGGGTGGTGGGTGACATCACTGAGAATGAAGGAGGAGGGAGCTCCAAGGATATATCCATCCACTGAAGCAACCACTAAGCTGGGAAAAACTGTCAGAATCAACTTTTTCAGAATGCTTGAGTCTAACATAAAACAACTTAGAGCAACCAGAGGAGTGCTTAATGAAAAAAAAAAAAAAAGACTGCTAAAATACAGTGAGAGAGCATTGTGGCATTTTTATACACCCAACTACTTCTCTCTGTTTCCCGGCTGGGCAGCTGCAGTGGGAATGGCAGCCTGCACTACAACCCTACAGAAGTAAAAGGACCTTACCTTTTTTATTTTTGTAAGGTTGTAGTAAGTGATTACTATTATCACATAGTAATGTGATTACTATTATCACATAGTAATAAGTTATTATTATGAACATTTGAAGGCCAGAAACTTAGATAACTTAGATGAAATAGACAAATTCCAAGAAACACGTAAACTACCAAATCTGGCTCAAGAAGAAATAGAAAACCTGAACAAAATTATACCAAGTAAGGAAATTAAATCAGTAACGTAAAACTTCTAAACAAAGAAAAATCCAGGACCAGATAGCTTCGCTAGAGAAATCTACCAAAAGTTTGAAGAAGAATTAATACCAATTATTCTCAAACTCTTTCAAAAACTAATAGAGTAGGAAACACCTCCTAACTTATTCCCTAACACCAAAGCCAGACAAAGACACCACACACACACACACACACACAAAAAGAAAGCTAGAGACCAATATTCCTTATGTACATAGATGCAAAAATTCTCAACAACATACTAGCAAACTTAATCCAGCAGCATATTAAAAGGGTTATACACCATGACCAATTGGAATTTATCCCAGGAATGCAAGAGTGTTTCAAAATATTAAATATCAATCAATGTAATACACCACATTGATAGACTGAAAGAAACAACATGATCATCTTAATTGATGCAGAAACAGCATTTGATAAAATCCAACAAGTTAGCATCATAAAAACAGTCAGCAAACTAGGAATAGAAAGGAACTTCCTCAAGATGATAAAGGGCATTTATTAAAAAAAAAAAACCCACAGTTATTATTACACTGAATGGTGAAATTCTGAAAGCTTTCCCCCTAAGATCAAGAACAAGACAAGGATGCCTGCTTTTACCACTGTTATTCAACATTGTTCTGGAAGTTCTAACTAGAGGAATTAGGCAAGAAAAAGATATAAAAGGTACCCAAATTGGAAGAGTAGACATAAATCTATTTCTATTCATAGATGACATTATCTTATATATATAAAAGCTTTCTTAAAGCATTCAGAAAAATGCTATTAGTGCTAGTAAATGAATTCAGCAATAGTGCAGAACACAAAATTAGTTGTATTTCTATACACTAGCAATGAACAATTTGAAAAGGAAATTGGGAATATTATTCACAATAGCCACAAGGTGGAAACAGCCTGAATGTCCATCAACTGATGAATGGATAAACAAAATGAGATATAGCCATACAATGAAATATTATTTGATAATAAAACATGAAGTACTAAAACATGCTACAAGGTAGATGAACCTCAAAAACATTATGCTAATTCAAAGAAGCCACAAACAAAAAGGCCACATAGTGCATGATTCTATTTATATGAAATATCCAGACAAAGCAAATCCATAGAATCCAAAGGGAGATTAGTGGTTACCAGGGGCTGGAGGGAGGGGGGAATGGGGAGTGGCTGCTTAATGGGAGAGGTTTTATTTTGGGTTCTTGAAACTGTTCTGGAACTAGACAGTGGAGATAATTGCACAACATTTTTGAATGTACTGTCACTGAATTGCACACTTTAAAATGGTTAAAATAGTAAATTTCACATTATGTGTATTTTATCACAATTTTTGAAAAGAAAATTTTGGAGAAACAATAAGGAAGGTCATGGAGGAATTGGAACCCTGAGCCACCATATAAAAAGTCTAACTACCTTGATAGAGAGAGAGGCCCAGCAGCTTCCAGCCATTCCAGCTACCCCAGCTAAGTTACCAAACCAGTGACTAAAGCTATCTTGGATTTTCCAGCCCTAGTCAAGCTCCCAGTTGAAAGAAGCTACATGAGAGACTCAGACAATGCCATATAAATCAAAACTGCCCGGTTGAGCTCATCCAACCTACAGAATCATGAGAAATAATAAATTATCGATGTTTTAAGCCAAAAAATAGGAACCTAAGTATAGACCCAGGTGATTCTGCAGTACATCAAAGTTTGGTCTTTCAAAAAGGATGAGATAAGAAGAGACTGCAGCTCACCTCTTAGAAAGGAATTCAACAAATAAGCTAAACCTTGAATAAGATAATCCACCAGAAATTGACCTGGTCCCAATTCTAAGTACCATAGGCAATTGAGGGTAAAAAAAAAAAAAAAAAAAATAGCCATACTTGCCACTCAGAGCCATATTTCTTTCTCATCACCTCTCAGATTAATCCTATTCAAATTGGGATATTTGACTGTTTCACATAGAGTTATTTTTCTGGTTGATAGCTACCAATCTAATGAGCTTTCCTAGGTCAGTGGTTCTCAAAGAGTGATGGGTCCAGCAAACCAGCAGCATCAGAATCACTTCAAGTTGTTTGATTGTGTTGCCTTCTTTTCTCTGCAATGATAATGACTACCACCATATATTGAGCACTTATTCCATGCCAAAAGCTTTAAATATCTTGTTTAATTTGATCCTTACAAAAGGCATTATAAGTCATCTTCATCATACAGATGCAGAACTCAATCTCAGGAATGTGAGGTGACCATCCCAGGGTCCCAAAAGCTAGGAATGGGAAGCACTGACATTTGAATCTGGTCTTAATGCCAGAGTCCATGATATAAGCACTACTTTACATTGTCTCTAAAAAATTTATCCTATCTCATGGGTGTCAACCACACCAAACTGTCATATGAGGCCCTATTGTGGATGTTAAATCAGGAAGAAAAAAAGGCAAAGTAAGAGCTTAAATTCAGAGCTGCCAAATCCATCTTTTTAAAGCCTAACTCTATCCTACCTTGTCTAAGAATGCTTTTGTAGAGGCCCAAACCAGAGTTAATTTCTGATTTTCCCATACTCTAATAAATTTTGTAACATGTGACACAGCCATCCTAATTTAACCCTCCAACCCTTTGAGATTTAACGTACTGTATGCTCGTATGCCAACTTAGTGTAAAAGAAAACAAGGGTTACATAAAGTTGCTTCAAAAATGGTTTTCCTAAGAAAAGTGCTTCCTCCCTGCCCAGTGAAGCCTTCCTCTCTCCCACAAAAATTCCTAGGTACTGTTATCTTCCAAGTAAGTTCAGTGTGAGAACAGCATAGTTTCCTTTTATCTCCATGAAGATTTTTCTAATGCAAAATGCAAAGGTTCCTAGGCAGTTGTTTTCCTTATTTCAAGCAATGGTATTCTTTCAGGTCCTGTACCTCAAACTCCTACAGCAAAAATAGTGTAGTGCTATTTTATGTCTTTGTCAGGGAACAGATAGCAAGGTAGAGAGAGATGAGCAGTGACACAGCATGTTGTCAAAAAATGAAGATCAACTATATCCACTGCAAATCACCAAGTAAGCTAGAGCAAACTTTGGTTCGAAGAGGTTTTAAAATAGGGGATGCAGAGGCAACATCAGCAAGATGGTGAAGTAGGAGATACAAGCCTTCGTTGTCCCATAAACAACAATTAGACAGCCATCCATGAAGGAAAATAGCCCTGAGAGGACTCAAAAGTCCAATTAAGAACCTACACCAACACAGAGGAGCAAACAATGGAGAATAACCATACAGAAAGAATTGCTGGGGAAATCAACTTAGCTGAGATCTCTGGAGACAGCTAGAAAGAAAGAAAAAGAGTGGGGGCTATCAGAATCAGTCACGTGGCAAGTGCCATCACGATCTTCGGTGGCCTGCTCTGCAGAGGACCCTGGCAGCCTTGGCCTCTGAGGACCTCAACAGCCCCTGTGAAAGCTGTGGACTCCCTGAAGCTTTCACAGTGGAGGACCCTATGGTGTTCATCAGTGCAGATTCTAGCAGCCTGCTCTGCAGAGGACACCAGCATCTTTCACCACTGAGGTAACCAACAACCATCACCACCATAGACTCCCCAGAAAGGGAGATGCTGCTGCACACCTCCTAGAAAGAGTTGCTGTCATGCTGTCCTGGGACCAGGTCTGCCACCCCCCACCAGCCCCATGCATTCTCCATACTCCAAGCCATGGCTGCTCTGTCTGCACCTGCACTTCAGACCCTTGTTCCATGGCTACTACACACACACTTATGCTCCAGTCCCCAGCTATGCAGCTGCCCCATGTGTGCCCATGTCTCAGGCACCAGAGTATCACCAATGTGGGCTAGTCAGTGTCCTTAGAGCTTCTGTTTCTCTGCAAGCATCTGTGCTCCAGACCCCAGATCCATGGCCATTTAGGATGTGCCCATGTCTCAGGCACCGACGCCACCTCTGCTGCGAGTAAGCCAGCACCCTGGACCCCAGAGCCACTATCTCTCCATGAATGCCTGCACTCCGGACTCTTGCTCCAAGGTTGCTCCATGGACACTTGCACATCAGACATCAGTACCACTACCACAAGGGCACCCACGAGCTGGACCCAGCACCAAGAGGAATTCCCCAGGCCATGACATTCCCCATGGGAGAAAAAGAGATTAGGAGGTCCCCAGCAGACTTCAATACCAAGGACCCAATAGTGCTCACCATACCTGTGGATACCTGCAAACTTGGCCATTGAGAACACCTGCAATTTTTGCTGAAACTGGCCTCAGATGACAAAGTTGCATGGAGACTATGGCTCTGGACCTTTCCTGGAACCAGATCTGTGACACTCCACCAAGCCTGACATGCACCAGCTGGTGAAAGTCTTTCCCCAACAAAACCAGTCTGTAAAGTCTAGAAGAGGTAACTGCTTCATAAAATGCACAGACATCAAAGCAAGACCACAAGAAACACAAAAAATCAAGGAATCATGACACCACCAAAGAAATACAATAATTTTTCAGTTACTGACCCCAAAGAAATGAACATCTATGAATTGCTGGACAAAGAATTCAAAATAATTGTTTTTCTTTTTTTTTTTTTTGAGGAAGATTAGCCCTGAGCCAACATCTGATGCCAATTCTCCTCTTTTTGCTGAGGAAGATTGGCCCTGGGCCAACATCTGTGCCCCTCCTCCTCTTACTTTATATGGGATGCCACCACAGCATGGCTTGACAAGCAGTGTGTCAGTGCACGTCCAGGATCCAAACCTGCGAACCCTGGGCCGCCAAAGCAGAGCACGCGCACTTAACCACTGCACCACTGGGCCAGCCCCTAAAATAATTGTTTTAAGGAAATTCAGTGAGCTACAAGAGAGCAAAGATAGATACTCGGTGAAATCAGGGCAACAATACATGAACAAAATGAAAAGTTTAACATAGGGATAGAAATGATAAAAAGAACTAAACAGAAATTCTGGAGTTGGAAAATATAATGAATGAAACAAAAAATGCAATAGAGAACATAAAACAGTAGACTTGATCAAGCAGAAGAAATAATCTGAGAACTCAAAGGATGATCATTTGAAATTATTTAGAGGAGAAAAAATAAAAAAGAATGAAATAGAGTGAATAAAGCCTTGGTGAATTATGGGACATCATCAAACAAAACAATAGTCACATTATGGGAGTCCCAGAAGAAGAAGAGAGACAAAGAGGTAGAAAGCTTATTTAAAGAAATAAAGGCTGAAAACTTCCCAAATCTGGGGACCGATATGGACATCCAGGTACACGAAGCTCATAATTCCCCATACAGATTCAACCCAAGGAGGACTTCACTGACACACATTAAAATAAAATTGTCAAAAATCAAAGACAAAGAG